ATATATATTATATATATATATATATATATATATATATCGCCCTTACAAATTCTGTATTTTTGTGGTTTCCAGCACCAACAAAATCACTGCATGCTGAAGTAGCCGTAGCATTTTCGGATGCTTCGATTTGATTCCCGTTATCAACAAGCTCGCAACCAGCATTATTTATTTCCCATCCGCCTTCATTCACAATCCAATTCTCTGTATCTTTCTCGTTATCTACCTTTTTTTCAAACCCATCGTTTAAAAAGCAGTTCAGTTCACTTTTTGCCATATTTGTACTAGGTGTCGCTATCCACTTATCCGACTTCCAACCGCTTTTATCAGCAGCAGTATCAATAATCTACAATTGAGCTTTTCAGCTAATAAGCTAAGAATTTGAAGAATAGGAGAAAGGTGAGATAAGCTAACACGGGTAAAATACAGGGAAAAATATACTGTGAAAGAACTTACATGGGTATTACGATCCAGGAACGGACGAGGTAAATGATTTCTTTTTTTTGATATATGTAGCGAACGATCCCCTGCAAGTTTTGTTTAAAACTTATATAAAGATTTCACTCTTTTATCTACTCGGCACAAAACGTTAAAACTTATAACACTAGCTTAGAAAAATATGTTCGCCTCTCGATTCATCAAGTCCTGAAATAAAGCAGCCATCAGTACCACCGTTACACCCTCTAGTTCTGTTACTGCTGGAACGAGAAGATTCAGTAAAATTACCACTATTAACGAATCTTTGGTCTCCACTATCATTACGTTTTTTATCCTCGGTAAAATCAATTTTATGATAAACTGAACACTGATGAGCCAAATGACCAGACTGTCCACAATTACGGCACGCTGCAAAAATCATATTAAATCCCAATAGAAGTATAACTTTCATAAAACGACAATCAATGAATTAATAACTTGAAACAATGATAAACTTACTTCTTCTGTCACCTATTCCTGCAGCATCGCTATAGCCGTTGAAATTACGATCGACGCTACTGCGAAAATTGTTCGAGAATTTTCTGTTGTCACCGCGATTTTGTTTTCCAAAGCTATCCTTCTTACAATCATTTGAGCAAACTCCCTTCCATCTGTTATCTTCAAATCCTCTGTTATCATTATTTTAACTCCTGCGTCCTTCATAACTTATCAATACTGATTAACCACCTATTAACGAAATTATTTCTCAAATTTCTCTCAAAAAATTGAGTTGTTTCTCAAATCTCGATTCTATTATTTTCGAGAGAGCTTCCAGATGAATTATGACTTTTAGAAGCTTCACATTGTTAGCGCGATTAACATCTGCAAATGAGTTAACATTTGCACGATTCAATACAACTTATGTAAAAGCATTCCTTATACTCAGTCAATTTTGCATCGTAAACTCTCAACAAAACGAAAAAGACAGTGTGGAACATCTCTTTGAGATTAAAATGTCGAAGTTTCAGAAAGACTGCGATACGCTATCCGATGACAAAACAATATTCCCAAGCACTAAATTTTGAATATCCGCGATATGAACATATTACTGAATTTACATGCAATAAGGAGATAACAGACAGCAAAATCTGAATGCAACCATAAGGAAACCATTAAAAGGGAAGAAATGGGAACTTACTTCGGCACGTGTAATCCACTAATCTGTTTTCAGCATCCAAAACATTGTCCATAGCAACTGCTGTAAATTTTTTCAAATTTAAGTCATCTATTTGAAAACAAAAAAAAAGTTGTTCTAAATGGACAAATTACATAGTGAAGCACAATTCTTCAGACGCTGACAAAACAACGAAGTTTTTGTTCTTGGGACGACGAAGGCCTTACTAATGCTGCCACATTTAAAATGTGATATACGACAGAACTCAAGTAATATCTACGAAAGTGCAAGACGAAAAGTTAAGGAACCAAAAGTGTCACTAAAACGAACTTATCGAAGCGATCTTTGGATGAACTAATGCAAAACTTCCAAGAAAAATTAAAAATCTTAACTGATAACAAAAAACTGACGTTTTGGCACAGGCAACGTTGGCGCTGGTCTTTCACCGAGTATTACTTCCGTGAGATTAACATTTCTGTTTTTCTCATCTTTTACAAACAAAGTTGCAATAAAGGATTCTCCATTGCTGTTAACATCATCTAAAAAAACGAGGACACTACTTGGTAACACTTAAGCTTAGATTAATAAAAAACGGTTTATGGATATGAAGATTAAGAAATTTTATTATTCAGATTCGTATTTTATTATTCAGATCCGAATAACTGATAGAGATATCAAAGTACACTGAACTTTTATAAAATGCAAGACTGAGTTCCACAATCTTTTTCTTCACTTTTTTAATCAAATGTGCAAAAAAAAAAAAGCGGACACAGTTTATAACTCACATTTACAAACAGTTCTAATTTTAGTTCGGGCTATTAACGGTTTATATATCGATTCATGATCTTAATGGCTATAACAATTGTAATGCTGAAAACCGTTTGTGAATGTGACTTTAATGTCTATTACATGACCAGAGCTTTTATAATTATGTTTTAGACTTCTGTGAGGGATTTGTTAATCTGATCCTTGAAAGAAAGAGGCGTACTTATCTGTGCACCAACTGTTTGATCAATAAGCAAACTTTTGATCTGTTCCAGATTCAGTCGAGGTTTCCTTACATCTTCGATGATCAGTTGTATAGCTTGTGGGGGAACTGAGAGTAAATATGCATCTTTCAATAAAAAAGCGTCATCGATATTAACAGATGCCATATTCCCGTAATCAATATAAAAAACCTGAATAAAAATCGAAATGTTTTGGAATTGCTTTGGAAAGTAGAAGTGCAAAATAATATCATCGTTACTATTTGGAACGAATGACTGCAACAATTGTTCTTTCAGTGTCATACAATGAAAATATAAAGAAGTGACAAAGGAAAACTTACAACCATAAAATCAATGCCAGCCTTTGAGAAGACAGAGGCTCGATAATAGCAACGATCAGGTGGATATCTATAAATATTCCGCCTGATTCTTGGTATCATTAAGAACAATATATATATGTAGAACAAGCATCAAAGGGTACAGGCTATTCTTATGGCATGAAGTATTTGAAAAACTCATTTCTTGTGCACAAAACACGACTTACAATGCTGCTATGATGGTACCACATTCTGGATTGCACAGTCGTTCATGTTTTTGTTTCGCAAGAGTTCTAAGTTTTTCGCTTACTTTTAATATTGTTTGTGCATTATTCTCCAACTGTACAAATAGTCGATTAGAATCTGAAACAAAGAATCAATGCTTATGCAATCTGTCAATTCAAATGGACTAAAAGCAATGTCGGTCGACTATAACTACTACAACTATAAAAAGCAACTCGAACAACTTAAATATTACCGGCAACATGTGAGATACGAGCTCGAACATATTCCCCAGCAATTACTGGTAGTAACAAGGGCGGTAAATTAGACATCTGGACTCGTGTAGCTAGTGCCATCCGAACAGGTTGACAGAGTAAACCGAAGTTATCCAGATCCTTCGATATGCCTCCTCCAAAAAAAATGCTGATGTCAACAAATCATTAAATCTGAATGAATATGGAACGGGACTAAGAAACCGAAAAATAACTTATGACGACATCTGTAAAGCATTGATATACTTACATTTAAACTCTTTGCAAACTGCCATACCATTATCGGGCAAGAGAACTTTATTTCGTATAGAAGCAATTTAATGAGTAAAAATATTACGACGCCCAAAATTCTGCCTTTCAGCAAAACGCTACTAAACTACAAAAGTAATTAAGTACTTCCCTTACTCAACTCCGATAATTCAATTATTTTACAACAAATCATGTTTGCAGGCAATAAACGTCAAGGTAGTTCCAGCAACCTACTATAAAGCGTAAAATCATCATGGCATCAAGTTCAAATTTAGGATCTTTCTTTTTCAATATCTTCCTCTTTCAGTGAGCACTCCAATAAATAAAACAGATCCCTTAACTTACTGAGGAGACATTTATAGAAGAAGCCTATCTGAATATATCCTTGCACCGTTGAAACTTGATCTTTATATGCAGTCCATTCAGCACTAGTTGTTTTACGCATTCTAAAAAAAGAAAAAAAAAAAAAAAAGAAAAAGAAAACCCTTTTACAAACAAAACCGTGTTAAATTCGTGTTATTCGATTAAAATTTATGCACACGCTTTGACTTCCAAAAAACAATTTAACTCAACAGAAAGATTATGAACAGTGCGAAAAAGAATGAATATTCTCAGTGAGAGAGTAAAGATATAATTGAACGACTAAAACAAACAGCGTCGGAGTTATCTGTCTTTATTTCCCTCTTCTTAGTGAATAAATAGAAATACATTTCCTGAACAGAGAGAGATGAGGTTAAACGTCCTTGTTTTAAACAGTAGACAAAGCATAGCACACATACAAACGGAATCAATAAAATGCGGCCCTTATTCGAATAAGTAGCATCCATCACTTCATCTTTTGATGATTCCCATAGACGCTTCTTGCCTTCTTATTCCATGTTACTCCTCCCAACTATACGTGAGCAGTTAATTAACGATATATATATATATACATATATATATATATATATATATATATATATATATATATATATATATATATATATA